ATATCGCGCAAATGATTTTGTTAAATAAAAAAATTGCAAATATTAAATAATAGATTTCTACTACTGCGGATATATAGAGAAAAAAAAAATAGGCACAAATACGTAGATATATTAAACCTTACAGTGTGTATCATTTATGATACCACATGGCATGGTAATGACACTCTGTCAAATGCAGCTTGGCAGGGAACATGCGGAAACAATGTTCGTGATGAAGTTTTTTTCGATAAATAGATCTACCTCTCAGTTACTTTAAACACATTCATTTTTTCCATTTTTTTCTTTTTTTTTACAAATATCCTGTTTCTCATAATGTACGTAATGATTCCAAACTTTCTGTCGGTAGAGTGTGTATACGTAAATATGTGAGCGTATGTATATGTATATGTACTCTTAAACTTAACTTTCAATCTCGTTAACTCGATAAGCTTTTACACTTCTCTTTTTATTATTTTATTATTATTATTATTTATTAACCATATTATTTATTATTAGTATTTATTATTATAAGTAATAATCATTATTGTGTTATTATTATTATTATATACAACTTACGTGCAAAACATAAAAAATATTTAATCGAAAACATAAAAAGATGGTCGTGTTGAGCTGAAAAACCGAAAAAAAAAAAGAACGGAAAGAAAAGGACATGTTGTTTTTAGTTTCTTTTTAACGAAATGTTAGGTAGACATTCTTGTACTCTAATCAATAGAATTCTATAACGTAAAAATGAAAATAAACAAAAAAGAAAAATTATGCACGAAGTAAGGTAGAACATCTTTGGTACACGACGAGAGAGACACTGCTACGGTTTTCTTACTTACTTACTTATTTACTTATTTATTTACACACACACACCACACACACACACGCGCGCACACACTTCATACATACATACACACGTTCTTTCCCTTTCTTCGTAATTATTTAAGAAAGAAGATTTATTAATTGCATCCAGACTACCGTTTCGCATGAAAAATTCGAAGGAATTTCAAACGATCCGAATTTTTACCCCATCGAACACGCTCTTCTTCTTTCAATTCTCTTAATGAGAATTTTTCTTTTATAATAATTAAACACACAAAAAAAAAGAAAAAAAAACCAAATTATATATAAAAATAATTAATTAGAATAGAAAATATAAATCATAAAAGTAAATTTTGTTGTTTGTTTTGTTTTCCAATATATATTGTTTACTTACTTAATCAACTATCATAATTGCTGGCACATAAAAGAAAATTAAGAAAATGAAAATAATAATAATAATAATAATAATAATAATAATAATAATAACAACGTTAATAAAAAAAAATCAAATCACAATTTTGTTTTCTATATTATCGTTTTATATTTTAACACGGAAGAACGATTCGCAAGGGAAAAATCCCGACGGGCATCGATCCCTTCCGTTAACTTCGTCTCGTCACGTTCGTTAAAGTTTCATCGGGGAAAGCAGGTAGCAATACTCGTAATAATACCTTTTTTTTCAGTATTTATTATTTATTTATTTATTTGTTTGTCTTTTTTTTTTTTTTTTCTTTTTTACTATTTTTATTTTTATTTTTTTTTTTTTTCTTACTTTTATTATTATTTATTATTTATTTATTTATTTATTATTATTATTATTATTCCTATACCATATTTTGTCGATCAATAAAATCTCTAAACGAGTATCAAGATCGATCGATGAATCTTGATTTTTGATCGTATTACCTTTTCTCATTTCTTCGATGAATTGTTTTTTCTTCTTCGCGTTAAAAGTCGACGCGCAATTCAGTGACACGAAACGTTATAATTATTATTATTATTATTATTAATATTATTATTATTATAATAACGAATACGTAAGGGGGAAAAGAGGACAATGCCCTTTTTTAACCCAAACTCGTCTAGAACACGCGAACATGAAAATTATTTTTCCATGGTGTGCGCGTTACGCGATTTCAACATCGTCTTTTCATTCGACTGTTGGTTGTGTGTTGTTGTTGTTGGTTGTATTGTGTTGGTCGCGTATATGCCACGTTTATTATATACGTATAAATATGTACATACATACATATACGTATATATATATATATATATATATATATATATATTTATATATATGTATAATATAACAATCGTAATGTTTACAAATAGGGGAACATACAAAACGGCAAATATACAATCCTAAACGCCCCTCGGCTTGACGATATACTTAAACCGTTTCACGAGTTTTCTTTTTTGAAATTTTTAACGCTAGAAGTACAACAGCTGACCTCATCATGCTAGTTCTATTCATTTCAATAAAGAAAATAAAAGAAAATGAAAAAGAAAGAGAGAAAGGGGAAATCAAGAAATGAAATTAAAAAAAAAAAAAACATAAAAAAATGAAACAAAATATCATATATTCTTACTTACTCCTGAGTAAACTTCAATCTAAATAAACTAAACGAATATCCTCTCGTTGTCCATTCGCCACGTCTCGTATTGTTTCGCGTTTCCTCCTATCTACGTAACTTCCATACAAATTCATTCCTTCGTGGATATTTCTTTTATGAAAACAAAATACAAATAACCTATTAGTTTTTTGTTGATTTGTTATTGTTTGTTGGTTGTTGTTGTTGTTGTCGTTGTTGTATTTTTTATTTTTTTTTTATTTTTTCGTTCAGGAAAATTATTCCTTTCTTTATTTTTGTCATTTTTTTTGTGTTTTGTTTTGTTTACATATATATATATATATTTTTTTTGTATTATTATTATTCCCTTTTTTTTATTTATTTTATTTATTTATTTTATTTATTCGAAGCGTCGTCGTCGTCGTGTGTTGTTTCGATACTGTAAAACTGTGAATAAAAAACAATTTGGGATTTATATAAATGTAATAATATATGAAAAATTGTAAAACGTTGTTGAATTGATGATAAAAAAAATTCGTATTGTTTTTTTTTTTTTCCTTTTTTTCTTTTTTTTTTAGTTTCAAAGAAAGAGAAAGAAATAGAAACAAAGAAAGAAGAAAAATAAAAGAAAAGAGAAAAAGGGATGTGTGGGTCAGGGATGGTATGTTTAATAAAGGGATATGAGAAATTTAGGCAGATATAATAATCTCGTGCCGTACTTCACGCGTTAAATACATTAAAAACAGATAAATATATATCCATAGCAATCGACAATATTATTTGTCTTATTTTCATTCTCCTCCCCCCTTCCTTCCTTCCCTTGCCCTTATTTTTTTCTTCCTTTTTTCTTTCTATCATTGAAGAAGATAAGCTTTCTCGAAAAATTTCCGTATTATTTCTTCGGTGTTCTTTCGTTTCTCGACTAGTGTGCAGTTGTTGTTCATCGTGTTGCGACGCTCCTGAACTTCTTCATCTTCATCATCTTCTTCATCTTCTTCTTCTTCCTTTTCATGATCTTAGGCGTGCCGTGACTATCTTAGAAACAGATGAAGCATACACAAGAGGAGGAGGATCATCGTCAGGCAGACGGCGTTATGTGACTCGCATCCGTTCTCAGATGTTACTGTAACATACATACAACAAGATATTATTTGTTTCCATGCTGGGTGAAATAATGTTTCGTGTTATATTATACCAAAAGACCATTTCCTTCCTTACTTCCTTACTTTCTTATTTTATTTCTCACCACCTTCTTTCATTTCTTACCTTCATTACTTTATTTCAACGTTATCGTAACTCTCTAGAGACCTTAGTTACAACACCACCTAAAAACATATCCCAAAAATGTTTCCTACTTTACGCACGTGCAACATTGAATTTAATTTCCTTCCTTTTTCTTCTTTTATTTTATTTTATTTCTTTCTTTTTTTTTTGTTCTTTTTGTTTTATATATATATATTTTATTTTCTTTCTATACTATGAAATATACAACTAGGTATAATCTAATAGAGACTTTTATTATACGTGTACGTGTATGTTATATATATATATATATATATATATATATGTACCGACGGGTCGCAGAAAAATATAGAAATATTTGGAATATATATTTTTTTTTCTTCTTCTTCTAATTAAATACCTTTTTACTTTTATCTCGGCAAAGTATTCTGCATTTTTTAGTACATATATATGGAGAGAGAGAGAGAGAGAAAAATTAGTATGCCATGTGAGATGTGTGAAGAATTAAAAAAGTTAATGCATTTTTCCTATAGCAACGAGGTAGAATATAAAAGAATTTTTTTAACCTTTTATTAAAAGATTTGTGATAAAAAAATAAAAAAAAAAAAAAAAAAAGAGATTTATGCATTTCGTATATTTTTAGTAATTAATTAAACATNAAAAAAAAAAAAAAAAGAGATTTATGCATTTCGTATATTTTTAGTAATTAATTAAACATTTTTTTATAAATTGTACAAATTAATCCAAACTTTTTACAGGCGTTCGATCATCATCAAATAATGAATCACGAAGAAATACTTTTTTTTGTGTTATTCACGAGATAAAAAAAAAAGTTGACAAAATATACAATTGTTTCAATCCGTGAACATTTATTATGGTTTAATGAAGAAAACTTGACCCATTTATAATGTTTTTTTAAATTTATTTCTCTAAGATAGATATATAAAAATTTCAATTTTACATATTTTCGAATTATTCAACGCGAATATATTAAGATGTAAATTAAAGTTAGAGGTATCGGTAAATGTAAATAAAAAAATACGTGTGATAAAAAAAGGAAATTAATTTAAGAAAAACTTTAAACAATAGTAAATAAAAATGACTATTATATTGTTGCATATTATATCACATTCGTATTATACTGTATGACTAATCGTGACTAATAATTATACCAATCTATCTCTCGTTAACTTTTTCCTTTGAAAAAGATAAAAAGATAAAACAAAAAAATACAAAAGAAAACAAAGCACGAAAAGTATAAATTCTACCACACAGTTTTACTTTAATGTTATCCATCTTCGAAGTTTTCACCCCTTCCTATACTCCAGAATGGGAATTTCCTTTCGTTACGATTTAATTTCGCTAGAGAAGAAGAAATGTACTAAAGAAAAAACATCGCTTTGCCAAATGCAGAAAGTTTTGTAACGATAAAACTATTAGTAAGAGCGGTGTATGTAATTCTCACTGAACTTATTTCTTCTTACCCCCTCTTAAGATAAATTTTCATTTACGTGAAACAATATAAATACGTACAAATAAATTCTCTCTATATATATAAACTATTTATTTCGTATTCCTTTTTATTTGAAATCAAGTATTCTTCATTCATGTTAGATCCATTTAAAATAAAACGTTTGAAAGTAAAAGCATTTGTTAAACTTAAATAGTAAAAAAAAAAACAAAAGAAAAAAGATCTCTCCTCTTCATGATAAAAAATTAATTACATGTCATTAAAATAGGGTAAATAAAAAAAAAGGGAAAAAAATAAAGAAAGAAATAGAAAAGGATAGATTGAAAACTAATGATGTTGCATTAATTAAAGTGCACAAATCGATTTATTTTGATCATCAGTTTTCTGTTATTGGATTTAGAAATATTTTATAGAATTTCTATTCGATGATATATTTCTACGTGTATTATATATATACGTATATTATATCTACATACACATATGTACGTGATATATTTATTCATACATCTACTTTCTCATAAACCATTGTCAACGAACGATTCGGATGTAGTTGTTGCCACAACGGAATACTGCCAATTACCAGCGGACTGTACACTTTTCGACACGTCCGATATCTATTCGTCAAATTTCAAACGCAATCTCCAATCGCGTATATACCTATGCTCTCTGACAGAATAGATAGAGTTACCGGTAGCCACTAAATAATTATCAGTCATCACTCCTCTACATCCTGAACCGAAACAATGATGGCGATTCGATAGCATAACGTTACTGTGGTATTCTCGGAAATACTAAATTCGTGTATATACGATCTAAAATTAAATTATTAATTTCAAAGGAATTGTTTTTTCTTTGTTAACAAGAAAAATACTACTACATACTATAATTATTATTATTCATCAATATTTGTGTTATTTGTTGATCACAATTAAATGAAGACTGTAAATATTACTTTTACATCTGTTACTAATTTTTGTATATAATATAATGTTGAATATTTTATAAAGTAAAAGATTAAAGGGATCGTAGATAACCATAAAAAAAAAAGAACCCACGCGTGATAACCTTTCTCATATATAAGAGTGTTATTGTAAATAACGAGAATATAATACGCTTATTTAAATAATTATATTTAAGCTAAATTTAACCAGAGAGTAATTATGTAATCTGCTTTTCTCATTACTAATACTGAGAGAGAAATAGAGTAATATTTTACGTATAAATTCCGGTATGATAAATTTTCCATACACCGAACTGACTATACGTAAAAATGGAACATTGATGGAGAAAAATTGTACGAGAATGAAATGCAGAATTCCAATTCAAAGCTATTGGATTATCAAACTGCAGCTTTCATTATGAAAAAATAATAATCATTAAATGATTGCGTAGGAATGTGGAAATTAATTTAATATTTTAATACTTTAAAGACTCGTATAAATTTTGAAACTACGTACCGCAACACATGTCGTTCAATTTGTTATTACATAACTTTATTCTTTTTTTGTGGATCAATAAATAAGATAAAATATTCAAATAATAATAATAATGAAGCAATATTTGCGATATAAAATTATTTTCAAGTCAAATGAAGATTTAATAAAAGTATTGAATTCCAAATCACAAAACT